GGGTGGGGTGTGTGTGGTGTGTGTGGTGTGTGTGGTGTGTGGGGTGTGTGGTGTGTGTGGGGTGTGGTGTGTGTGGGGTGTGGTGTGTGTGGGGTGTGTGGTGGGTGTGGTGTGTGTGTAGGGTGTGTGTGTGTGGTGTGTGTGGTGTGTGTGGGGTGTGTGTGGTGTGTGTGTGGTGTGTGTGGTGTGTGGTGTCTGTGGGGTGTGGTGTGTGTGGGGTGTGGTGTGTGTGGGGTGTGTGGTGGGTGTGGTGTGTGTGTAGGGTGTGTGTGGTGTGTGTGGTGTGTGTGAGGTGTGTGTGGTGTGTGTGGGTGTGTGGGGATGACCCTGCTGAGGCTGCTGTGCCTCAAATATTGGAAGAAGAAGTCACCCCCTGTGAGTGGCTGGCTGAGGTGCCATCTGCTGAGGAAGTACTGAAGGCGATTCAGAGTCTGGGACCAGGAAAGGCACCGGGCAGAGATGATCTCCCAAGCAAAATGCTGAGTGAGGGTGGCGTTTGTGCACAGACTGCCCTATATGACATCATAACAACAGTCTGGACCACTGGACGGGTTCCGCAGGATTGGAAGGATGCCCTGGTGGTCCCCCTCTTTAAGAAGGGGGACCGCACAGACTGTAACAATTACAGGGGCATCTCACTCCTCAGTGTGCCGGGAAAGGTCCTGGCAAGGATTATTCAGCATCGCCTTGCCAGGCACGCTGAGGAGAGGCTTGCGGAGCCCCAATGCGGTTTCAGGAAAGGGCGGTCCTGCACAGATGCCATTATTTACGTCCGTCTGCTACAGCAGAGGTGTAGGGAATTCCAACAAGACCTACATCTCTGCTTTATTGACCTGGTCAAGGCCTATGATACCATCAGTAGGCCTGGGCTCTGGGTTGTTCTTCATGCTTTTGGAGTCCCTGACCCTCTGCTCACGATCATTAAGGACCTTCATGATGGTGAGCGGGCCCGGGTAAAACTATGTGGCCGGGAGACGGAGCCATTCCCTGTACACCTTGGGGTGCGACAGGGATGTCCTCTGGCTCCCACATTATTTAACATCTATTTCGACCACGTAGTTCGTGAAGCCTTCAGTAGCTGTACCGGGGGAATTTCCATTTGGTACAGATACAATGGGAGGCTGATCGATGCCCGGGTGCGGTCAAGGGATGGCTCCCTATTGGTCAACCGCGTTATGCATGCTGATGATTTGGTAATAGCTGCTCAGTCAGAGGAGGAGTTGGAAACGCTGCTGCTGAGACTGGAGCGTGCCACTAAGAGGTGGGGCCTTACCATCAGCCCCACCAAAACTAAGCACCTGCCTGGGTATTTTATAGCATCGGACACTCCACCCCAACAACTCCCAATCGGTGATGGGGCAGTTGTGGAGAGAGTGGACAGTTTCCCATACCTGGGCAGTGTGCTTATGACTGGCTCCAGTTTAACAGCAGAGGTCTCACTCCGAATCAGTCGAGCGGCAATATCTTTTCATCGGTTGCGTAATGCTGTGTGGAAGCTACCTGGTCTGTCGCTCCGCACTAAGCTTCAGGTCTTCTCGGCCACGGTCATTCCCTCCCTTCTCTATGCTTGCGAAACGTGGACCCCCCTAATGGAACATCTTCGCCGGTTAGAAACATTTAGGCTGGCCTGCCTACGATCTATCCTGGGTTTATCCAGGCTGGATTGAATTTCGATTTAAAGCTTTCGTGACTGCAAGGATTCATCTTCTTTGGTTCTTTCGGTAAAGTCACGTAGAATGAGAATAAAATAATAAAATAACACGATAAAATTTTCACGACGTTTCGGCCACAACGCAAGCGGCCGTCTTCAGAGCTGTCGTCCCGACAGGTCTGTACCTTTCACCTGAAGACGGCCGCTTGCGTTGTGGCCGAAACGTCGTGAGAATTTTATCATGTTATTTTATTATTTTCTTCTCATTCTACGTGACTTTACCGAAAGAACCAAAGAAGAACAGCCTGGATTGTGTGAGGAGCTCACAAATCCTTGAAAGATCTGGGCAAGGTCCCATCGGTGAGCTCCTCCGGCAGGCAAGGCTGCGATGGCTGGGTCATGTAGCCCGCATGCCCAGCCACCGCATGCCCAAACAGCTTTTGTTCGGCCGAATCGAGGGGGCTAAATGGGCGCGGCACGGGCTAGAGAAGAGATGGAGTGATGTGGTACAGGAGGACGTGGAGCTGAGTGGGTCAGTGAGTAAGTTGGTGATTGAGCGGGTGAGTGAGTGAGTGGGTAAGTGGGTGAGTGAGTGGGTGAGTGGGTGAGTGAGTGAGTGGATAAGTGGGTGAGTGAGTTTGAGTGAGTGAGTGGGTGAGTGGGTGAGTGAGTGGGTGAGTGAGTGAGTGAGTGGGTGAGTGAGTGGGTGAGTGAGTGGGTGGGTGAGTGAGTGAGTGGGTGAGTGGGTGAGTGAGTGAGTGGGTGAGTGAGTGGGTGAGTGAGTGGGTGAGTGGGTGAGTGAGTGGGTGAGTGAGTGGGTGAGTGAGTGAGTGAGTGGGTGAGTGAGTGAGTGGGTGAGTGGGTGACTGTATCTCGAGATCTCACAGACCCCTGCTGATGACGATGTTGTTGTTGATGGTGATGATGACATTGTGAGCTCATGGCAGTTCAAGTTTATCAGCTGATTTAGGGCTGAGCGGACCTGGGGGAATCCCCGGACGGCTGATTCACGGATCGTAAATACTTGGGCGGGAGATTGTGGGTTTCGGTTCGGTCCACCACTAGGTCGGCTCGGCCTCAAATAACAACACAATCTCACCGTCTTACACACACACTCACCACCTCACTCACCCACTCACCCACCCACTCACCCTCTCACTCACCCATTCACTCACCCACTCACTCACCAATTCACTCAACCACTCATGGACCATCTCACTCACCAACTCACTCACCCACGCACCCTCTCACTCACCAACTCAATCACCCACCCACTCACCAACTCACTCACCCACTCACTCTCCATCTCACTTACCCACTCACCAACTCACTCACGCACTCACCCACCCACTCACCCTCTCACTCACGAACTCAATCACCCACCCACTCACCAACTCACTCACCCACTCACTTACCCACTCACCAACTCACTCACGCACTCACCCACCCACTCACCCTCTCACTCACCCACTCACTAACCCACTCACCCACTCACTCACCAATTCACTCAACCACTCAGGGACCATCTCACTCACCAACTCACTCACCCACACACTCACCAATTCAATGACCCACCCACTCACCAACTGAATTACCCATTCACTCACCAACTCACTCACCCACCCACTCACTCACAATCTCACTTACCCACTCACTCACCAATTCACTCACCCACCCACTCACTCACCAAGTCACTCACCCACCAACTCACCAACTCACTTATCCACTTACCCACTCACTCACCAACTCACTCACCCACCCACTCACTTACCAACTCACTCACCCACCCACTCACTTACCAACTCACTCACCCACTCACCAATTCACTCACCCACCCACTCAATCACCAACTCACTCACCCACTCACCATTTCACTCACCCACTCACGGACCATCTCACTCACCAACTCACTCACCCACGCACCCTCTCACTCACCAACTCAATCACCCACCCACTCACCAACTCACTCACCCACTCACTCTCCATCTCACTTACCCACTCACCAACTCACTCACGCACTCACCCACCCACTCACCCTCTCACTCACCAACTCAATCACCCACCCACTCACCAACTCACTCACCCACTCACTTACCCACTCACCAACTCACTCACGCACTCACCCACCCACTCACCCTCTCACTCACCCACTCACTCACCCACTCACCTACTCACTCACCAATTCACTCAACCACTCATGGACCATCTCACTCACCAACTCACTCACCCACACACTCACCAATTCAATGACCCACCCACTCACCAACTGAATTACCCATTCACTCACCAACTCACTCATCCACCCACTCACTCACCATCTCACTTACCCACTCACTCACCAATTCACTCACCCACCCACTCACTCACCAAGTCACTCACTGACCAACTCACTCACCCACCCACTCACTCACCAAGTCACTCACCCACCAACTCACCAACTCACTTACCCACTAACCCACTCACTCACCAACTCACCCACCCACCCACTCACTTACCAACTCACTCACCCACTCACCAATTCACTCACCCACCCACTCAATCACCAACTCACTCACCCACTCACTTACCAATTCACTCACCCACTCACGGACCATCTCACTCAACCACTCACCCACTCACTCGCCCACTTGCCAACTCACTTACCACCTCATTCACCAATTCACTCACCCACTCACCAACTAACTCACCCATTCACTCACCAACTGACTCACGAGTTAACTCACCCACTCACCAACTCACTCACCCATTTACTCACCAACTCACTCACCCATTCACTCACGCACTCACTCATCAATAACTCACCAACTCACTTACTCACTCACTTACCCATTCACTAATCCATTCACTCACCCACTCACTCACTCATCAGCTCACCCACCTTTGGGAGGGTAGTTGAGTGAGTGAGTGAGTCGGTGGGTGAGTTAGTGGGTGAGTGAGTGGGTGGGTGAGTGAGTGGGTGGGTGAGTGGGTGAATGGGTGGGTGAGTGAGTGAGTGGGTGAGTGAGTTGGTGAGTGGGTGAATGGGTGGGTGAGTGAGTGAGTGGGTGGGTGGGTGAGTGAGTGGGTGGGTGAGTGGGTGGGTGGGTGAGTGGGTGGGTGAGTGAGTGGGTGGGTGAGTAGGTGGGTGAGTAGGTGAGTGGATAGTTTAGGGAGTGAGTGAGTGGGTGGGTGAGTGAGTGAGTGAGTGGGTGGGTGAGTGGGTGGGTGAGTGGGTGGGTGAGTGAGTGGGTGAGTGAGTAGGTGGGTGAGTAGGTGGGTGAGTAGGTGAGAGGGTAGTTTAGGGAGTGAGTGGGTGGGTGGGTGAGTGAGTGGGTGGGTGAGTGAGTGGATGAGTGAGTGAGTGGGTGAATGAGTGGGTGGGTCGTGACGCCTACAGAGCAACTCGATATAACAGGTGGACTCTGATCCCGGCCTGTCACTGGAAGAGACACGCTGAGACACGCTGAGACACAGACAGAGACACACAGAGACACGCGGAGACACAGACAGAGACACAGACAGAGACACGCAGAGAGACAGGACAAAGCTGTCGATTCAACTCTCAAACTAAGGTAAGAATTTGATGAATGGTTCTCTGTGAGTCTTTGGGTCTCTTTATGAGTCTATGGAGTCAGGGTCCGGGATGGAACCCACGACCTCCTGTAGACCAGGCGAGGTAGTCAACATCTCCTAGCCACTGTGGTGTCAGGGTCAGGATCTAACCCACGACCTCCTGTATACCAGGCGAGGTAGTCAACATCTCCTAGCCACTGTGGTGTCAGGATCTAACCCACGACCTCCTGTAGACCTGGCGAGGTAGTCAACATCTCCTAGCCACTGTGGTGTCAGGGTCCGCCTGGTCTACAGGAGGTCGTGTGTTCGATCCCGACCCTGACGATGCCAGCTGCTGCTGTCGATGTAGAGTCTGCGTCTCTCTCTGTCTCTGTCTCTCTCTCTGTCTCTCTCTGTCTCTGTCTCTCTCTCTGTCTCTCTCTCTCTGTCTCTGTCTATGGTTCTATCTTGGTCTCTGTGGGTCTCTGTGGGTCTCTGTGGGTCTCTATGGGTCTCTGTGGGTCTCTATGAGGCTATGTGAGTCTCTATCGGTCTCTGGATCTATGTGGGTCTCTATGGGTCTCTGTGGGTCTCTATGAGTCTATGTGGGTCTCTATGTGTCTCTGTTGGTCTCTGGATCGCTGTGGGTCTCTATGTGTCTCTGTGGGTCTCTATGAGGCTATGTGAGTCTCTATGGGTCTCTGTGGGTCTCTGGATCTATGTGGGTCTCTATGGGTCTATGTGGGTCTCTATGAGGCTATGTGAGTCTCTATGTGTCTCTGTGGGTCTCTGGATCTCTGTGGGTCTCTGTGGGTCTCTGTGGGTCTCTATGGGTCTCTGGATCTATGTGGGTCTCTATGGGTCTCTGTGAGTCTCTGTGGGTCTCTGGATCTATGTGGGTCTCTATGGGTATCTGTGGGTCTCTGTGGGTCTCTATGGGTCTCTGTGAGTCTCTGTGGATCTCTGTGGGTCTCTGTGGGTCTCTATGTGTCTCTGTGGGTCTCTGGATCTATGTGGGTCTCTATGGGTATCTGTGGGTCTCTATGAGGCTATGTGAGTCTCTATGGGTCTCTGTGGGTCTCTATGAGGCTATGTGAGTCTCTATGGGTCTCTGTGGGTCTCTGGATCTATGTGGGTCTCTATGGGTATCTGTGGGTCTCTATGAGGCTATGTGAGTCTCTATGGGTCTCTATTGGTCTCTATGAGGCTATGTGAGTCTCTGTGGGTCTCTGTGGGTCTCTGGATCTATGTGGGTCTCTATGGGTATCTGTGGGTCTCTATGAGGCTATGTGAGTCTCTATGGGTCTCTATTGGTCTCTGGATCTATGTGGGTCTCTATGTGTCTCTGTTGGTCTCTGGATCGCTGTGGGTCTCTATGGGTATCTGTGGGTCTCTATGAGTCTATGTGAGTCTCTATGGGTCTCTGTGGGTCTCTGGATCTATGTGGGTCTCTATGGGTCTTTGTGGGTCTCTATGAGTCTATGTGGGTCTCTATGGGTCTCTATTGGTCTCTATGAGGCTATGTGAGTCTCTGTGGGTCTCTGTGGGTCTCTGGATCTATGTGGGTCTCTATGGGTATCTGTGGGTCTCTATGAGGCTATGTGAGTCTCTATGGGTCTCTGTGGGTCTCTGGATCTATGTGGGTCTCTATGGGTATCTGTGGGTCTCTATGAGGCTATGTGAGTCTCTATGGGTCTCTGTGGGTCTCTGGATCTATGTGGGTCTCTGTGGGTCTCTGTGGGTCTCTATGAGGCTATGTGAGTCTCTATGGGTCTCTGTGGGTCTCTGGATCTATGTGGGTCTCTATGGGTCTCTGTGGGTCTCTATGAGGCTATGTGGGTCTCTATGGGTCTCTGTTGGTCTCTGGATCGCTGTGGGTCTCTATGAGTCTACAGTGAGGGAAACACGTGTTTGATCTCCTGCTGATTTTGTACGTTTGCCCACTGACAAAGAAATGATCAGTCTATAATTTTAATGGTAGGTTTATTTGAACAGTGAGATACAGAATAACAACAACAAAATCCAGAAAAACGTATGTCAAAAATGCTATAAATTGATTTGCATTTAAATGAGGGAAAGAAAAAAATAAGTATTTGACCCCCTCTCAATCAGAAAGATTTCTGGCTCCCAGGTGTCTTTTATTCAGGTAATGAGCTGAGATTAGGAGCACACTCTTAAAGGGAGTGCTCCTAATCTCAGCATGTTACCTGTATAAAAGACACCTGTCCACAGAAGCAATCAATCAGATTCCAAACTCTCCACCATGGCCAAGACCAAAGAGCCCTCCAAGGATGTCAGGAACAAGATTGTAGACCTACACAAGGCTGGAATGGGCTACAAGACCATTGCCAAGCAGCTTGGTGAGAAGGTGACAACAGTTAGTGCGATTATTCGCAAATGGAAGAAACACAAAAGAATTGTCAATCTCCCTCGGCCTGGGGCTCCATGCAAGATCTCACCTCGTGGAGTTGCAATGATCTTGAAAACGGTGAGGAATCAGCCCAGAACTACACGGGAGGATCTTGTTAATGATCTCAAGGCAGCTGGGACCATAGTCACCAAGAAAACAATTGGTAACACACTATGCCGTGAAGGACTGAAATCCTGCAGCGCCCGCAAGGTCCCCCTGCTCAAGAAAGCACATATACATGCCCGTCTGAAGTTTGCCAATGAACATCTGAATGATTCAGAGGACAACTGGGTGAAAGTGTTGTGGTCAGATGAGACCAAAATGGAGCTCTTTGGCATCAACTCAACTCGCCGTGTTTGGAGGAGGAGGAATGCTGCCTATGACCCCAAGAACACCATCCCCACCGTCAAACATGGAGGTGGAAACATTATGCTTTGGGGGGTGTTTTTCTGCTAAAGGGACAGGACAACTTCACCGCATCAAAGGGACGATGGACGGGGCCATGTACCGTCAAATCTTGGGTGAGAACAACCTCCTTCCCTCAGCCAGGACATTGAAAATGGGTCGTGGATCTGCAAAGAGGAGTGGGACAAAATCCTTCCTGAGATGTGTGCAAACCTGGTGGCCAACTATAAGAAACGTCTGACCTCTGTGATTGCCAACAAGGGTTTTTCCACCAAGTACTGAGTCATGTTTGTGTCTCTATGTGTCTCTGTGTGTCTCTATGTGTCTCTGTGTGTCTCTGTGTGTCTCTGTATCTCTATGTGTCTCTGTGTATCCCTGTGTGTTTCTGTGTGTATCTGTGTGTCTCTATGTATCTCTGTGTCTCTGTGTGTCTCTATGTGTCTCTATGTATCTCTGTGCGTCTCTATGTGTCTCTGTGTGTCTCTATGTGTCTCTGTGTGTCTCTATGTGTCTCTGTGTCTCTATGTGTCTCTGTATATCCCTGTGTGTCTCTATGTGTATCTGTGTGTCTCTATGTATCTCTGTGTGTCTCTGTGTGTCTCTACGTGTCTCTGTGTATCTCTGTGTGTCTCTGTGTGTCTCTATGTGTCTCTGTGTGTCTCTATGTGTCTCTGTGTGTATCTATGTGTCTCTGTGTATCTCTATGTGTCTCTATGTGTCTCTGTGTGTCTCTATGTGTCTCTGTGTGTCTCTGTGTGTCTCTGTATCTCTATGTGTCTCTGTGTATCCCTGTGTGTTTCTGTGTGTATCTGTGTGTCTCTATGTATCTCTGTGTCTCTGTGTGTCTCTATGTGTCTCTATGTGTCTCTGTGCGTCTCTATTTGTCTCTATGTGTATCTATGTGTCTCTGTGTGTCTCTATGTGTCTCTGTGTGTCTCTATGTGTCTCTGTGTGTCTCTATGTGTTTCTGTGTCTCTATGTGTCTCTGTGTATCCCTGTGTGTCTCTATGTGTATCTGTGTGTCTCTATGTATCTCTGTGTGTCTCTGTGTGTCTCTACGTGTCTCTGTGTATCTCTGTGTGTCTCTGTGTGTCTCTATGTGTCTCTGTGTGTCTCTATGTGTCTCTGTGTGTATCTATGTGTCTCTGTGTATCTCTATGTGTCTCTATGTGTCTCTGTGTGTCTATTTGTGTCTCTGTGTGTCTCTGTGTGTCTCTGTGTGTCTCTTTGTGTCTCTGTGTGTCTCTGTGTGTCTCTGTGTGTCTCTGTTTCTCTGTGCTTCTCTCTGTGTCTCCATGTGTCTCTATGTGTCTCTCTGTGTGTATGTGTCTCTATGTGTCTCTGTGTGTCTCTCTGTGTCTCTCTGTGTCTCTGTGTGTCTCTCTGTGTTTCTGTGTGTCTCTTTGTGTCTCTGTGTGTCTCTGTGTGTCTTTGTGTGTCTCTGTTTCTCTGTGCTTCTCTCTGTGTCTCCATGTGTCTCTATGTGTCTCTCTGTGTGTATGTGTCTCTATGTGTCTCTGTGTTTCTCTCTGTGTCTCTATGTGTCTCTGTGTGTCTCTCCTAGCCACTGTGGTGTCAGGATGTAACCCACGACCTCCTGTAGACCAGGCGAGGTAGTCAACATCTCCTAGCCACTGTGGTGTCAGAGTCAGGATCTAACCCACGACCTCCTGTAGACCAGGCGAGGTAGTCAACATCTCCTAGTCACTGTGGTGTCAGGATGTAACCCACGACCTCCTGTAGACCAGGCGAGGTAGTCAACATCTCCTAGCCACTGTGGTGTCAGGATCTAACCCACGACCTCCTGTAGACCAGGCGAGGTAGTCAACATCTAGCGAGTCTGCTGTCTGAGCCACCGAATCTCCGTTTTGAGCCACACGGCTGAGCGTCGAACTCACTCGGATTAGTCGTGGCTAGCCAGGTCGCCGTCGAACAATCAGTTAACACCTAGTAGCATGGGTCTGGGTCTCTGTGGGTGTCGCTATGGGTGTCTCTATGGGTGTCTCTGTGAGTCTCTGTGGGTGTCTCTGTGGGTGTCTCTGTGGGTGTCTCTGTGAGTCTCTATGGGTGTCTCTGTGGGTGTCTCTGTGAGTCTCTGTGGGTGTCGCTATGGGTGTCTCTATGGGCGGCTCTGTGAGTCTCTGTGGGTGTCTCTGTGGGTGTCTCTGTGGGTGTCTCTGTGGGTCTCTCTGGGTCTCTGTGGAT